ACCAAATTCAACATGCCTTTGTTATGGAACATTTACTGTGACAGCAGAATCGATAATGCAGTCATTTCCAGCCTTGTGAGCTGACACCTTCATGGGTTTGTGTACTTTGTGACTGACTTTTTCTTCCTGTCCCCAAAGTGCCATATGCTACTTTAAAAAATATTAAAGTGAATTCAAATTAAATTTTTATTTGAGATTTTGTTCTTGAGGTCCCTCAACACATGCAGGGGTGTCACAGAGCCCAGGCTGGTAATCACTGCCTTAATGACTTACTTCCTACTCTTTCTCCTATGGTTGTAGAAACAGTAAATTATCCAAGTGCTGAGCCTGTGTGGATTCAAAGAAGTTAATGCTAATTACTGAACTACTCCTCAAGTCTTAAGAATAGATTATAATACATTGTCCAGCAGGCAGTAAACCTTATGAAAAGTGTTAAGGAATTCACAGGAAGAGCAATGCTGCTTTACTGGCTTATTAATCCCGCCATGGGTCACATGAAGAGGATAGTTGGCTAAAGCTTCCCTCCGATTGGCAATTCCTTCCAGTACTGCTCAGGTGGGGACTGCTGGTAGTACTGAGACCACCACTTAGGCAATATTCCTCTCAGCCAATTTGGAGTTAAGCAGTGAATCTAGGAAAAGGTAACCACAGCTGTGGATACTGGGTGCTTGTAGTGTGCTAATGAGAGGATCATTTTGCCCTTAAAAACTGGAGGTGTACATATCACTATCCCCATTTTAAATAAGAGGATTCTGAAGCTAAGTTTAAGTTATGACCTCAAGATCACAAAGCCAGGATTCAAACTCAGATTTTCCTAGTGTCAAAGCCCTGGTCCGCTTAGTATCTATCTTCCCCCACCCCAGGAGGTCAGGAGGCCATTCCCTGCATCTGTTGTGGTAGAGGAAGCCATAAAACAGCCTAGCCTAAACCATTACCATACACGCCTGATATGTGTATGTATGTGGTTATAATTCCATTTAGGATTTCTAGATATTCCTAGATTCCTAGAAGTCCTTCAGATTCTTCATGCTTTGTGAATTGCAGGAACTCCAGACCCTTTATACTCTGGAGGTGAGTTGGCTGGATTGATAACTCTGCACAAGAAACCCAGAGATTGGTAGACACTCTGGCCAGAGCCATGGGAATCAGGAAGGGAAAGCAGACACACCCACAGCTCTGTATCCAAGGCAAGCATCACAGAATAGCACTGTCCAGCAGGACTTACTGAGAATATGGAAAGTTCTCTATTTGCCCTGTCCAGTACAGTAGCCATAAACCACATGTGGCTATTAACCGAAATGTGGCTAATTTTCTGGGGAATTAGGTTTCTAATTTTAAACAGCCACACATGGCTCATGGCTACCATATTGGACAGCAAGGGTATAAAGGAAGAGATCACTTTCGGGAGATCTCTGGGCCTGTTTACTCAGCTTCAGTGTGAGGGGTTACAGATGAAGATTACATTATTCTATAAAAAGATGAGGGCATGCTTTGACAGTGACCATAAGTAAGAAAGAGGTGATTTTCCATTTGGAAGTTCTTCCACCCTTTGGTGCATGGATACAAGACAAAGGCTACTTTTGAAGCCCCAAACCACTCCTGGGCTTGTTTAGTAAAGTTTTGAGAATATCTGGCTTAAGAATTACAAACCATGGAGCAGTTGGGAGACAGACTAGTGCCTAGGTGGGGACAGAAAAGGCGTAAAACGGGGAGTGGTTTGTCAGATCTCAGAAAGTAATTTACATTATGCCAGGACAAACTGGCTTCTTATAAGGGAGTAACTGGAAACTTGCTGATACCTAACATAGGGGAAAAGTGAGCCAGTCTAGCTGAGCGCTAGTCCAGCTTGGTACCTAACTCTCAACTAGCTGCCATCTGCTTCGGGCAGCTAATACAGGACCACTTGCCCCCCACTATGGCTCCAGGAAAGTCCCAGTTTTTAGATGACAACCCAAGGGACCTTACAGTGTTGGGGTTAGGAGTGTGGGCTCTGCAGTCACACTGTTTGCATTTGAGTCCCAGCTCTGCCAGTGAGAAGTTACACTCACATAAAACACATCTGGGCCTCAGGACCCTCCTCTGTAAAACTGAAGTGATTACAGTATGTATATTACAGGTTGATGTTTAAAATGAGTTATCTTGACACACAGTGTGTGCTCCATAAATACTGCCACTGTTGTTTGGCAAAAAGCCCGGGGCTGTCTCATTTCCCCAACCAGGGTGTAGCGCTATTACTTTATTGCCATTTAAATCCATAATCATATTCCATTATCACAATCTACAGTGCCATATTATACATATTTACCTCTATCTAGTAAGCTGTGCAATAAGGCATTCATTTCCAACATGCGTTGTAAATATTAAGTGGCTGGGAATACAAGTTAGTTAAGAGACAAAATTAAGGAAAACATAAGTTGAAGAGAATGGAAAAAAATGGCAACGATGATATTCCATAAAGTGCAAAGTCTGCAGAGAGAGATTATAAGTTCCATAATTTTCATTTTCCTTTTCTTCTTCAAGGTGTCAGCAAAAGTAAACAATAATTTTATAATTATTACATATCATACTCTCTCCAACAGTCAGTGGAAGATGCTATTCTTTTAAATTATAAACTTATATTTGAAAAACGTCAGGATTTTTTTTGTCTTCTGAACAGATCACTGGCATCTTAGAAAAATAACATGTAGACCAGTGCTACTCAAAGTGTGCTCAAGGACTGGTGCTGTCAAACTACTGCTGGTATGTGACAACACAGAATTAAACATTTCAAAATATGTATGGCAAGCTGACATTGTCATGATATTATCATCATGCTTATATTCTGTATGTCTTTTAAAGATTATTTCATTTTTCTAATAATTTAGTGTATCTTTCAAAAGTATTACTTGTGATGAACTACAGGGAAACTGGTCCATCACCCAGACAGCATCAGAAGTACTGACAAGGGCCACAGACTACAGTGACCATAGCTGCGGAACACAAACGACCGGTATGCGTGTAACATCAGCAGATGTAGTCACCTCTTGAACGCATTATCCATGGAGTTGTTTCCTTAATTTTCTTAAAAAGACGGCAATAAAAGAAGTAGAACATGAGCCCTGGAAGCAGACACATAGGAGCTTCAATTCTGATTCTACCACTTTAGCTACATGTGTCCTTCAGCAACCTTCTCCTACATCTGGGTCTTTGCTCATCTGTAAAATGAAAATACCAAAACATATCACAAAGTGGTCATGAGGCGCAACTTAAGAGGTATAGAAGGTGCCTCATATAGTACCTGATGGATCTCTAATAAATGTTGGTCTTCTTCCCCTTTCTTTTTTTAATCAGTCTTTTTTGGAAAAAGGATCAAATCTAAAAAAAAATCTAGATTCCATTATTTAAAATTATTTAAATAATAAAGAGAAGCTACCCACTAACTGCATCTTCCAAGATTTATCTTAGATAAATATAGTACTCATTTTAAATCTCTGGTGACTTATGAAGGTATCACATTCAGGAATCATAACAGAAATAGACAGTTACCTTTAAAAGATAATCCAACTCCTAGGCCAGAGAAGATTTTAACATAATCTGAGTAAAAATATTCCCATCAGAGGGGGTGGGATGTTGGTCATTAATGAAGATTAGAAAAACAGCAGTCACAGAGAGGAAACTGTGGGCAGGACCTCCATAAAGGAAGGGATGGTCTTTGTCAACAGACCTGGTATCTCATCCCATTAGCAAGGCTAGCCCCATTAGGGTGGGGGTGCGGGTGGCATCTGTATTAAACTCTTTGGCCTCATGACATTAACCCTGTGAATTAAATAACAAGCTCCCTTTGTTTTATTTCAGTTCACTAAGCAGCCACCTTATAATTTTGATCCCTTATAAATCTGTCTTCTGAGAGAGAATCTGCTAGTCATATAAATTCAAGTGTTTTTATCCTTATACTAGTTATATTTTTGGTTGTGAATCACTACCTGTACCAACTATATGAATTGGCTCACAGGAGACAGGGCTTACAGTGCAATTAACACAAAGCAGGGTTCTGAGTCAATAAGGCTAACAGTCACACCCAAATAGTTTACTCTTCACTGTCATGCCACCCAACAGGCTCTATCAGAAGGCAGCTTGCCAGCGTTGTCATCTAAAAGTACCTCTCTGTCTTCCCGCAGGCTTCTTCAAACTTCCACATCCATTATGTTACCTATGCCTAGGATCTTGCTTTCAGCTGGATAAGAAAAACTAACTTATAAATTTGTACATCTCTAACTTTGGGGAACAGCCACATACAGAATAATGTAAAAGACTATTTCTTTAGTTGACATCATTTCAGGATCTTAATTCTCCCACATATTTAGATATTTTGATGTAATCCATCATCTATTCCAAACCTCTTAAAATCTAAATATCTAAAATTTTCAGATTTAAAAAAAAAAAAGTCATAAATGGAAATACTGTCTTTCCTGTCAGATGGACATTCCCCTGTAATTCAGCCCTAAGTTTTACTGGCAAACCATACAACTAATTCACAAAGCATTTTTTGTGATATGTAAAATGTGTTTTAAAACCTTTTAAAAACAACACTTGAATGATATGATTGTTTTAAGCGTGCCACCTACACTATATCTCGCCCACACATCTGGTGTCAAACCATCCAACTTGCTAACAACAGTAAGTTTTTGTAGGCACCAAACATAAGCAATAACATAACAAAGGGATCTGTTAGGCTCCATAATTGTACACCTGTTACGGTATGTGAAGCACAAAGCCAACTTCCAACCACCTGTGAAGGGCAGAGCCATTTTATTGAGTGGTCATTTAAACTGTTCAAAGGCCTTTAAAAAGGAAGGAGGAGAGAAGAGGTGAGGGACATAGAGAAGGGAAGGGAGGAGAGAAAGGAGGGAAAGATTTCTTACAGGTTACCTGTACATTGCTTGATGGGGATTAGAATTGTGATCAGTACTATACTATACCCGAAATCAAATGAAAACAACATAAATACACTAAACATATCAAAGTAATGCTTTTAATTGTTTAACTTCTCATGGTAGTCACAAAGCAGAAACTGACAAACCTATGATTTCCTCTAAAAATAAACATGGAAAACAATATCCTGAAGGACTGCTGTTGTTCTCCCTTTGGCTGTTCTCACTGTGATGGTTACAGCTGGCTAGCTGCCCGTGAGGAGCTGCTTCCTTCCCTCAGCAGTACCTCTTCCCCTGGCCCAGCGGCTGTCCTGGCTGGGATGTACCCAGCAGCCCCAGCAGATTGTTCATGTGTTACTTACTCACGTGCTTGTGTTGTTATCATACAAGCTTCCTCTTAGGAGACGAACTTGGTGAGCACAGGCTTTGATACATCTGCTACATTTACATCACCAATAAATATAATTATTTAAAAAATCATTTTAAACCATAGGAAAAATGTTCAAACTTCTGTTTACTCATAAAATAGTTACCATAAATCTGAATGGGAAATATATCCTTTGGTTTTTTAAAATCAAAGTCTATTTAAAGGCACAGATTATCATTAGTGAATATTACAAAAAATAAAAGTTCCTAGTATGAAAAGATGTCTGGCAAAAACAGACCTGAAAATACTGACCTATTACTTCAAAGAGGAACTATCATTTTAAAATCAATCTAGAAAATTCCAGATGGGTAGCCATGTTCTTTTTTCATGACAGAAAAACTCTACCAAATTTCGCTCAGGAAAGCAGCAGTGCCAAAATTCTGTGCATCCTTCCCCCATAACCCTTGTCCTAATAAAAAGATTATTTTTATGACCCCATCACAGCAAAAAAGCCTAATTTGGATTCTCAGAATCAATTTAGCAACATCTTAACCTTGAGAATGTCTTGCCATGTTCAAATCTTTTCTTAGATCTATGTTTTGGCCTTCTTTTCTCAGGGTCAAAGCTCACAGTTAGCCCCTCATTCCACTCTAGATTTTAATATCATAAATCAAGAAAAAAATTGTTTTGTAAGAAATTGTTATAAACCCATAAAGCTAAACAATTTTTTTAAATTCAAATTCAATTCAAAATGTCACAAGAGGTTAAATGCCTTCAATTTCAAAATACAAAAAAAAAGTAATCATAGTATCTAATCCTTTTATATGTATATAAAAATCTTATGTATTATAAAAAACTTTAAAATATCTTAAGAAACGTTTCCCTTTATCACAATTAAATAGCAAGTTGGATTATTGAAAAATAAAAAGTCAAGTCACCAACATTGTGAGGCCTGTGGCTTTAGGGAGATGGCTCCTAAGCTTGTACCTGAAGATCTTGTCTACCTGAGTCACAGGATACACCAGGGCTGGATTTCTACCAGTGTTGTCTCTCAATGTGGTCTTGCACATGTTATTTAACCTCTCCAAAGCTCAATTCCACCACCATTAGCATTTTCCAAACAAGTGTGTTCCAAAGAATATTAATCTCATGAAAGAGTTCTGTGGTCAAATTAAACAAGAAACTGCATAATTTCTCCCCTCTGGGAGATTCACAGTGCACGTGAGCATGAATAATGCCTCTGAGAGGTCCTGAGGAACATTAGTTTAACTTTGTATCACTCTTAGTTGACCTCAGAATACCTTTACTGACTAACACTTAGTAGTATCCTCTGAGCTGTATTCTGGAAAACAACTGGTCCAGCGTGTCTCAGGTCTCTTTTTGGACTTATGCTGATGAAATATAGGAAGACTATTTCAGAGTTCTCTGGCACAGGTTCAGGGGATTAAGAGTGGCGTGAGTGCCCTGGTCTCAACAAAGCACCTGTTCGTGCTTACTAGCCTTTTGAAGAACATCATTCCCCTGTTCCTAACGAAAGTCTTCATTCAAGGAAAGTGGTAATGGCTGTCACAGAATCTTGATACCCACCTACAGTACAATAAGTAGCAGAAGTCACCAAGAATGCTAAGTTATCTTCAAAATGGGTTAGCTTTCCTTCCCACAATGACTTTTCTCTATAGCAAATGTTTTTGCCACTGTTCACTATAACAGTTCTGCCTAACTTTAACAGACCTCTGCCCTTTACCCATATCCTTGTCCAGAATGAAGTCAACTTGAAGGTTCAGTGTCAGGAAGTACTTGGGTTAAAGAGCTGCTCTTCCAAAAAGGCACCCCCAAGGCCATACTGCTCTTCATGCAGACTGATTTCTTCAGGTGACAAGTGGCTTCCTCCAAGAACAAAGTCTGCAAATCTAATAAGTTTTTTGTTTTAAATGAAGTTAATGTTATCTCAGGAAGGTTTATTTGAAAGATAACATGTTTGCTTGCTATTTATCCCCTTTAATTAAATTTGACTTTGCATCAGTAGTGGGTGACATTTACACAGTGGGTATAAAAATGGGAATGGCTTATGTGATCCCTCTTAAGACAGTTATTCATGGAAAGGGCAGAGAGACAGGCAGATGTAAAAGCACCAAGTGAGCCAAATGTACCCACTCCTGTTTTCTAATTCCTTCTTGTCTCTATTTTTTATTAGTTTCAATTTCTTATTATTCATTATTTTGTGTCAAATACTTTCCCCCTTCCATCTTTAATTTGAGGGCACTGTTACCTGGTTAGAGTTACAAAGAAGAGAAAGCAATAAGGAAAAATGCTGGGACAGATGTCTTTCTTAGTGAACTTTAAAAATGACTTTCCACACCAATAGAAATAGAAGCAGTCACACATCTTATTCCACCTTCCCTTCCCATAGGGAAGTTATCTTTATGGCCTTCCCTATAAAGCATCAAATAAATATTTACTCTGACATCAGCAGTTCTACTGTGCAAAGTCACAGTACTGAGAAAAGGACCTCTGACAACTTGATCATCATCGCTTATCCAGGGAAATAGTCTATTTCTACACTGCAGTGCCTGTACCAAACCATCATATTATTTCCAAAATCAGTCTGAACTAAACTATGGTCGGAGCAGCAGAGCACGACTTACTTTCCAGGAGTGTGGAGTCTAGAGATGACCAGCCACCAGGGGAAGTCGGGTTTTCGGCAGGTCCGGCGCAGCTCCTCCAGAGCACTATTTGTTTCAGCATCAGCTTGCTCCCTGTACTCATCTTCCGTAAGATACTTCACCACCAGCTCTTCTGTTGGAAACCACTGCTTCATTCTCCTAAAATACATGGCATGTGGTTGTGGGATTACCGTCTATTTCAATCCTTAAGATTTACAAAAATATGTATCTTAGCTCGTAACTGTAATAATACTTCTTAACTTCCTCTATATCATATCTATACTTTTTTATTGCTGTTATCATGACTGAGGTATAGAGAAAATGTATTTTTGGGCCTGATAGTACATTTCCCCATTTTCTGGACTACCATAAATAATGTCCTAAGGCATCTGAGAATCAATTTCTAATACAGATGTTAATTGTATTTTTCTTCCTCATTGATTTCTAATCACACAGGCAATTAAAAGCCTGTTTTTTTGTGGGTTTTGTTTTGTTTTGTTTTGTTTTGTTTTTTTATGCTTAACCTGTTGATTTTCTTGGGTGCTAACAAAAGCAAGCCTTTGAAATGTCCTTTTATGCAGACCCTCTAGAACACTGACCATTTACTCTCCAGACCACCAAAAACCTGGAAGGATTTGTGGGGTATCACTTCCACCTAGTGGTGGTGATTCTGACTAATCCTAGAGAGAAAGAGCAAATATGGTACAAAATTTATAGTAATTCTTCCTCTATTACATGCCATGTGGATCATGATTAGAACTTTCTTTTTCCAATCAGGAAAACCCTAAATCTCATAGTAGGAACCTAAAAATTTAGGAATCTAAGAATCTCCTAAAATAGTAACAATACTAAGGTTTTAAAAACATTTATTTATGAATGAGTTTTTAAAAATATTTTGGGGTGGCTTTAAATTTAACCAGAGATTCCCAAATATATATGAGCATTAGAATTATTAGAATATCATATTTATTTAACATATATTTAAATTTATATATAGTTTTTTCTTGAGGTTTGGGACCAAAGAAATCTATTATATTTTAAAGATCTTATAGTTGATGAACTAGATTAAGGAACCAGTGACATAATTTCCTTCTCCTTTTCTGAATACCAATGAATGGTTTTCCTGCAGGAAAAACCCTGGATGCTGAGCCAGAAGACCTGGACACAGTCCTGCCTTTGAGGTTTATTCACTATATGAACTTGGGGAATTCTTTAATAGTTGAGAGCCTCACTTAGCTCATATGAAAAAAATAAAAGCGGAAGCAATAATATCTATGTCATCTACTTCATAGGTCACTGTACAGGTCAAATGAGACATTTTGTGTAGGGTGCTTAGCACAGTAAGTGGCCTACAGTTAAGTGTTCAATAAGGATAATCAAAAGAGTAGTTACAATATATTATTAAAATATAAGTAAACAGCTCTTTGCAACTAGAAAGTACTGTACAACAGGAATTGATGAATTCCTGTTTCATTCCCTGGTTCTTTATATAGTTATTCACTAGCAAAATTTTAAGTTGAGGAAGTTACAGTACATTTTGATTACTGTAGAACACAGTAAGTGCACAAAAGAAAACTGTGCAGAATGCACTTTGCTCTTGGCAGGGAGTTGGATGGTTAAAGGGAAGGAAGAAGGAACTCTATCCTGGGTTCCTCAGGCCACAAGCCTGGCAAAGGGCCAGGGACCTGAAAGATGTTGGAGGGCGGGGCAGCCTCACTGACAAGACCTCTGGTGTTCCTAGTCACTGTCTGCTTCAGGCAGATGGGGCAAAGAGAGACCCAGTCAGTGTCAACCCTCCAACCCTGCCCTGCTGCCTTTCATCCCTGCCAATATCTTCTGTGTGGGCTCCCTGTTCTGTCACTGGTGCAATTTTAACCCAGTGATACTGCAACACACAGTTATCAGTTCCATAAACTACCAGTCACCATAGTGTCCTTCCTCACAGCCCATTTTACCTCTTGAACATTTATTCACTCCCTCTTCCAGCCTTGGGTCTCTTGGTCCTCACCTAGGTCCTTATCATCTCTTGCCTGGACCACTGTGATGTCTGATAACTGTTCTCGTGCCATAGGGACCTCCCCTTTATATCCACTTGCTGTGCCAGAAGACAGATGGGCCACATCCCACCAGCCAATGAGTATTTATGGTCTCTGGTGTGATTTCAATGTATTTTTAATTATTTTTATTTTTAAGTGCCAACATTTAAAAATCCTAAGATTTCACATTCTAATCCTAATTCCCATTTCCAGTTTTTCTAGAAAACCAGTAGATCTGGCAACGCAGGACCCATATTCCTACAGAAGAGAAATCAGCCCAAGCTGAGTGGTGACAGCCCCATTTTCAATGAGGTTGCTTTGCAGAATTTCCCACAGTCCTCCTGGTCACCGCTGCCTTACCCCTGCTCAGCATCACTCACTGTAGTTTCTGTCTAGGTCGTAAGCAACTAGTTTGATAACTGCTGTACAGGCAGCAGTCAGAGAGGACTAATTAAAATGTCTCATGTAAACCCCACTGTGTACAGGATTGGACTAGATTGCTTAGCAATGGCCTGCCATGCATCTGGCCCATGCCTACCTTGCTTGCTGCACTAACAGTACTGCCTGCCTCCTGATGGTACCAAATGGGCTTTCTCTCCATCAGGAAAGCCCTCCACATTTATTCATCTGGTTATTTTTATTCATTCTTTAAGATTCAGCCTAGTAATATCTCCTCCAGGAAAGCTCTCCTGGCTTTCTCTATATACCCTTGGTCCCTGGGTAAGTTTCCATGTTAATACTTAGATAGACATGTATGCCTATGTCTAGCAAGTATACCTCAAGGGTAAGAACTATCTCCATCTGTCCATCTGTACACCTGACATGAAAACAGCTGCTCAGACTCGATGACTGAGGAGAGGCATAACAAAGCTGTGACGACAGAGGTTACTTCACTTTTCTTTTTATACTTCAAAGGGCGTAAGGCTTAACTTAAAACCTAAGAGAAAAGAAAGTCCTAAATACAAATAATACCTTTAAATCATTTATGATTCATTTCTGTTTCCTAACTCATAGCTCTTATGCACAGCTGATACCACTAAAGCAGTCTTTGGCTCTAATTAAAGAAAATGTTGAATAAAAGAAGAAATTTTAGGTAACCCAGAGCCCGAGTACTTCTGCCATGGACTCTAGTGAATTCTTAGTGAACTCTAATTACCTGGTAATTGGTGATACACCTCTGAACAACTAATGAAGACTAGGCATAGAGATGGGATCACGTTTGGGGCCGTCTTCCCCTCTACACCCAATCTTGCTCAGAAAGAAATCTCCAGATTAAATGTAATTATGAGATTAAATATGATGTGTGCAAAAACTCCCCCAAATAATAAAACTAGAGCTCAAAATGTCAAATTTACTGGGGAAAAAAATGATACATACCACCTCATATAACTGAATGCTCTCAGTGGGTAGTGCAGACTCCAGGAGGCTATGAGAAGGATTATGGCTGCATAGGCAAACTGAGGCATGGCCACGCCCGCATAGACCAGAAGCAGAGAGAGGAGCCGCAGTGTCCACATCAGAAGACTTCTGCTCCTGTCGTCTGAAAGGGGCCCATGCTTGTAACAGACAGCAAAGCTGAAAAATCCAACTATCAAGACATAGCCTGGAAAAGTGGAAGAGGTAAACTAATATAAATTTAAATTTGAGACATTATGTGAAAAACCTGGCAGAGCCTTGACTTAAAGGTAAAAACTATTAGAGTACCTTAATTTTTATTTTCTTTTCCCAATGACATAAGGTTGAAAAATGCACATAGGGCGTTATTCCTTCCATATGAGATACTACGCTGACTTTTGCAATAATTTGGGATGTACACTCATTATGATAATATATGTTTGTCTATATTTTAGTCCAGTGCCCTGACTAGACAAATGTTATCATGATTGCTTTGGTCAGGAAGAAGTCGCAGTTGTATGTCACCATTGGCTACAAATCCTATTTTTTATTTTTACTTTCTAGTCATAAAAGGAAAAGGTAATTTTACAGTGGAGGCAGTCACCCTCTGAATCTAATGTTTAGTCTCATCATGATGGTGAGACTATAAGCTATTCTGTGTCTCTGGGTATCATCCAAGGTGAAGTGCCCATCACCTCATAGGTATTCTGCCTTGACTGCTTAATTTGTATCTAACCAAGCCTTGAGATCTAATTTTCAGTTTACCGAAAATACGCAGAAGAGAAGAACATGTTAAATTCTACCATAAAAAGGTCATCAGATAAATCTAGAAGGTGGACATTCTATAGGACAAGCTTGGTCTCTTTAGCATATCACTATGATGAAAAAGGAATTGTTATGGATTAAAAGCAATTTACAGGACAAAACAGATGCTAAATGTGGTTCCGGACCATATCCTGGTTTATATAAGCCGTCAAGAATGGGAAATGGCCTAGGTAATAGATTATTTTATGTAATTATTTTTTAGATAATAATTAACTGATCATATGGGAAAGGCTCTTGTTTTATAGAGATGAATAGCGAAGTATTTAAGGGAGTGTACCACGATATCTGTAATTTAAAAGTAGCACAAAAAGAAGAAGGAGCTAAAAAGACACAATTTTCAAGTAAAACAAAAAACCTAATTGCTTTTGAGGGAAGTGAACTTATGTGAGAAATTTGGTGCTAAAGGTTAGGAGAAAATTGATTCTCTCATTGTTCATTACTTTCTTATTAAAATAAACAACAAAAACATTTATTTTATAACATAAGACAAGGAAAATAAATGGTTTCTTAGCCTCTCTGTTTCTGAAAAGTCAAGTTTTCATTATTCATTTGTATTTAGGATTTCTCACCTTTCCTACTGAATACTTAAGAGAAAGAAATAAGCAGCTGCTTTTCAGAGAAACACTTATATTACAAGTTAGATGTCATCAGAGATTAACCACAATTCAGAAGCGTGAATTCAAGAGACACATTTTTTTTTTCCTCTTTTGATCATTACTATAGAAAACTAAGAAATATGTCATACGGAAATCATCTAAAATGAGATCTAAATGAACTGAAACCACCAACAACGGGAATAAGATAAACAAAATATTATTTTTAGTAGCACCTTTCCTCAGTTCAAAATGAAAATTTAGACACTGGAGAGAAACGTCTATCAAAAGAAGGGCTCTAGTTGTACATCTCAGTTTTACCAATCACAGAGCGTACTGCTTTTCTATTTACCTACCTAATATATATGTTCTGTTTTCGTACCACAGCCACTTCAGATCTTCCATCAACTGGTAGACAACATAAACTGAAGCAAACCAACAACCAACCATTAGAGCCCAAAAGGTGCTATACTGTGTGTGGAAGAAAATAAATGACATATTTTTTGGTTTATTCACTCTCATAAAAATAAAAGCAAACAAATAAACCTTTTGTATTAGAAACTCCTAAATCAAACTGAATTGAAGTCAATGCAAGAAACTCCCTAGGGCCTTAAGATATGGTCCACAAAACAGCAGTTGCGGCATCACATGGAGCTTGCTGGAATGGCAGAGTTATAGGCCCAACCGCAAACTGCTGAATCAGAACCCGAATTTGAACAAGATCTCCACGTGGTTTGCATGTACACTGAAGTTGTAGAAGCACTGTTACAAAGAATAAATGTATCTCAAAATAATGCTGCTGTTACAAACTTTAATCAGTGTAACTGCAACGCCACCATCATGAATTATGTATTTATCTTCAACTAAGTTCAGTGTGTTATTTTACTGAAGGTGTGGCCAGGCACAGTGGCTCATGCCTATAATCGCAGCACTTAGGGAGGCCAAGGCAGGTGGATCACTTGAGCTCAGGAGTTCAAGACCAGCCTGGGCAATACAGTGAAACCCTCTCTCTACAAAAAATATAAAACTTAGCTGGGCATGGTGGTGTGTGTCTGTAGTCCCAGCTACTGGGCAGTCTGAGGAGGAAGGATCACTTGAACCCAGGAGGCTGAAGTTGCAGTGAGCTGAGATCATGCCACTAAATTCCAGGCTGGGCAACAGAGTTGTTTGCTGTCTCAAACAAACAAACAAACAAACAAACAAACAGGTGTGTGTGGAACTAATAATAATTAAAAAAAAAAATCCCCAGATGTAGTAGTGCTGTTATTCAAGGCCCCAATGGTTCAGCATCATGAGATTCCCAGCTCAATAAATAGACATTTTCACTCAATATAGAAATAGCTTTCTATCACTTAAGAAAAACAGATTACCTAGAAAGTAAAAGGGTCTCAAAAAAAGTATCACCAAAACTTAATATTTACCTAAGCCTACATATAGTAATACAATACTATACTACATATAGCAATACAATCAGGAACTCCAGAAAAAGATACATTTTAAAACCAGTTTACATAATGAAGAAACATAGTTTAAATTATAAACTATCATAATGTCGATTAATTTTGATGAATTTTTCATGTGTGTAAGATCATGATTTCCATTTTTTATTCATTTGCACATAGTATGCATACCTTTGGAATGAATCTTTTCATCAACAGCAAGACAAAGACTAATGTCATTAGAACACCTAGCACAGTTCCCGAGGAATAATAGAAAGTAGGGCTTCTGTCAAGATAAACAGATAAAAGCCATTTACATACCAAACAGCACTTTCAGTATGAAAAACATGTTTAACCTGGCAACGTCAGTCATAAATAATGCTAAGAACAAGAAACTCAGATGGCAGCTCTCATTACATTACTTTCTCATTACTCTTAAAAAACAAAATGGATATTTGAAATTTATGGTAATATGGTAAGTTGCTTGCCACTAACTCAAAACAGAATGTCTGAGTTATTTTCCATATTCAGGTTATGATCAGACAATGATTACTGAACACCTATCATGCAGCAGGCAGTTTTCCAGGTTTTAGAAAGGAGAAAATTAAGGCACTAAGAAGTTAAAAAATCTTCCCTAAGTCATTATCTGCTCACTGGAGGACTAGGGATTACGGCTCAGCTCCTCGGAGTGCAGGCTTTATTCTTCATGCTGTGTATGCATCATGTGGTTTATAAAGTTCACAGATGACATTAAACACACTTGATAATACTATAAGGAAAAGCTTCAAAATCAGCAATGTTAAGAATAGCTGACCAGTGTGGGTTACTAACCTAGAACCCACAAGCTAAGAAGTAAAATACTGAAAAAATATTTCTTTCTCATGAGAGAATTCTAAGAAACAAAACATCAGAATAATGGTTTGCAGATGAGAACATGTCAGTAATAAATAAGAAAAAGATAATATGTTTCTCTAAGAGTTAGATATTTGCTATATTCAGCTTTCCGTATCAGGGCCACAAATCTAGGAGGCAGCTCTAACGTAATAGAGCAAGGTGTGTGGACCAGAAAACCAGAGAACAAATCTCCAGCCCTGATAAGACCCAGTAGTGTGATGAGGGATGTTGCTTTTCTCATTTGTAAAATGAGAACAATAATACAGGGCTTGCATAGTTATTATCAGGATCTAATAAAATATGTTAATACATAAAATATGTGAAAGCACTTTGTAACACAAACATATCATGTTACACAAATAACTGTGACTGTTTTCAAAGTCTTTTCCAACACCATCTTCAGACCTACTGTCTGCAAAACCTAAAGCAAGACCACAAACGCACAGTAGTGTGAAAATATTTAGCATGTGGTCAAAAACTTACCTAAACCCCCTTTCATTCACAACGTTAAAAATATAAAAAGGAATACTTACTGACTCAGGGTCTTTGCATAAAAGAAAAGAAAAACTCCTGCCACAAACACAAAGAAGAGTTTGAAATCCACAACTAGAGTGAAAAAGACACACAAACACATAACAAACATTTATCAATGTAATGTTGGTAAAAGATAAAAGTCAATTAATTGAAAAGTTACTCCAGAAAAACTAAATTCAGAAAGTCAAGTATAATAAAATCAGACTTACTGTTTCGATTCACATGTATCATATACTTAAATATCTTCTTCTCAGGCTCTACAGAGAAGCACACAGTCGCCCCGTATGGATTGATGATTATGGTTATTTTGTTAGACTCCTTTGGTGTCCAAAGGTTATGAATCACACACTTGATAAAAGATAGTATGGTTTCTGGATATTGGCAATTATATTTTTCTGTGATATATACAATTCTGAAAAGGCCTGGACTGGTAATTTTCACCTATAAAACAAGAACAAACAGATCCATAAACAGAATAACTTGTCTTTTTGTTATGTTGGAGACAGGGTCTCTCTCTGTTGCCCAGAATGAAGTGGCAGGATCCCTGTTCACTGCAACCTGCACCTCCAGGGCTCAGAAGACCCTCCTACCTCAGCCTCCAAAGTAGCTAGGACCACAGGCACATGCCACCCGCCCAGCTAATTTTTATGTTTTTGGAGAGATGGGGTTTTGCCATGTTGCCCAGGCTGGTCTCGAACTCTTGGGCTCATGCTATTTGCCTGCTTTGGCCTCCAAAGTGCTGGAGTTACAGATGTGAGCCACTGCATCTGGCCAAAACTTCTCATAGGTTTCTTAAAAACATGAGCAGAGGAGTAAAGAGAACCCAAGGTTAGCTGAGTAAAGAATGCTCAATTCACAGGGTGGTGTTCTATGTCCTGATCCCAGAGGTGGACTCAACAGATCTGTATTTAGTCCAAATACACACTGAACCACAGACATTGTTGAAAGTGAATGCTTCTCCCCGTATGCTGTGGTTAATTTAAATCCCTTTCCTAGCAAGTTACTGTGGCCAAGAGACATTAAAAAGAATGAGAAGAAAATATAGACATACTCATTTCATTGTTTTACTTCATTGTGCTTTGCAGAGACTGCATTTCTTACAAATGGAAGGTATACGGCAACCCTGTGTTGAGCAAGTCTACTGGGAACATTTTTTCAACAGCATGTGCTTAATTCATGTCTTTGTGCCAGCATTTTTTTAGCAATAAAGTATTTCTTAAATTAAGGTATGTAGGTTTTTTTTTTTAATATAATGCTACTGCACCCTTAATAGACTAACAGTATATTGTAAATGTAACTTTTATAGGTACTGGGAAACCAAAAAATTTGTGTGACTTGCTTTATGGGGATATTTGTTTTATTGCAGTGTTCTGGAACCAAACCCATAATCACATTATCTCTGAAGTATGCTTGTAATAGTTGGTAAACTATGTGAGTAGGCATAGTTTGAAAATAGGGTTTAGATTGACACCATTTTCTACTGTGATTAGGGAAAAGCACTTCATTTCTCTGGATCAGGTGAGCATTTGTAATTCAGGCTTCTCTCCCCATGCCCGTTGAGGGACCAGATCCCAACCTCGGGTCCTATTCACATCATTCAACAAAGCACTACCTACAAGCCAATGTTGACAACCCAGCGGTCATTAAATGACAATTTTGCTGCTGCCTTTGTCTGTCCTTCTCTTAATTCCTCTTCTTTGTCTAAGAGTAGGGCAAACCTGAAAAGGGAAGTAAGAGCACTAGCTCTGAATCCCAGGCTATCAGATAATATCACCCACCTATCTATCTACAACTCCCAGATTTCTCTTTGAGTTTGGCTTCTGGCTCCTGGCTCAAGTTGCTTTCTCTTCAATACTACTTCCTGCCATTCTTCTTGGGGATTTCAGTATATATAATGTACACACCAATCCTTCCAGTATCCTGGCCTCTCAGTTCCTGGGACTCCTTTCCTTCTATGCTGTTGTCCTCCCTACCTCAGCTAATCACTTCCATGGCTATCCCCCTGACCTTGTCAGTACCAGACTGCAGCCCCTCCATACGTTGTGTTTCATGCATCTCACTGTGTGACCACCATCTCCTGTCTTTCCAGTGTACCAATCTAGTGCCCCAACACCCCCAAGCAGCTGAACATCCTTCTCCTGCTCCTTACCCCTTCATATCCTCAGTCTCTTTTTAGACAGCTAAATCCCATGAACTATTATACACCATTCCCTCGCACATACCCTTGACTCCTCTGCATCCCACTTGCTTTGTCATGCTCACTTGCAAAATCCAACTCTCCACCATTCTACTCCTGCATTTGCATCACCAGTGTGCTGGAGAAACGCACACCGGTCTCACTTCAAATCCATGACTATGAACTTGGAGAGGGACATGAAAGCTGCAGTCATTCATACCACATACTAGTATTCATTCATTCTTCTACCCCCTGCAACAAAGGATTTCACAACTTCTTCCTCAATACTCCAACACCTCCTTCCCCACCCTCTTCTCCACTGTTGATCCTACCTACTTCATTGAAAATGGAAGAAATCAGAAGTGAATGTCCACCAGCTCCTATGTGCAAAGCCACCTACCTGTCAGCACCTGCAGGCACATGCTCTGCTTCCTGCCTGTGGGGAGGAAATTTCTTCCACAGAGGAAATTTACAGGCTCCATAAAGGCAAGTCCCAACTTGGGCACTGGATCCTGTCCACATTTGCCTACTCAAGGACATCCCAGTAGTACTTCTTCCCTCTCTATGAGATCATTTCTATCAGCATACAACATTTAAAAAAAGAAGAAACAACCTTCTATGGACTCCACTTTTCCCTCCAGCTACCACCCATTTCTTTGCTTCTTGTTGCAATGAAACTCCTTTAAAAAGCTGCCCGTGCCTTCAGTCTCTAGTTCCTCTCTTTCCATTCTCCGTTTAATCCACTTCAATCAGGCTTTCATGTCCAAAAGGCTGCCCTGACAAGGTCACTGGTGCTTCCATGTTGCTAACCCAAATGCCCAATTAATTCTCAGTCATCTTATTTGACCTATCAACAGCATTTGGCACTGCTGATTATTCCCTTCTCCTTGTTACACGTCTCCCCAGGGCTTCCAGGACATCTCCTTCTTCACTGTTGCTTCTTTTGTCTCTCCTCTGCGGGCTCCTTCCATCTCCCTGTACTCTTAATATAAGACTAACCCAGGCTTAGCCATTGGTCGTCGTCTTCTCTTCTCCATCTAAACTCACTCAGTTTCATGGCTTTAGGTACCATCTATGTCAATATGCACAGCTAATTACTTTTGCAAAAAAAAAAAAAAAAAAAAAAACAGGAAAGATATACCAGAAACTACTCAAACTGATTGCCTACCAGGGTTGGATAGGAATTAATAGAGGGAGGCAGGAAAGTGACACCTCTTGAAAATACCTTTGTGTAGAGTTTTAATTTTCAAGCCATATTAATTGTAGACACTCGGAAATAATGACAATAACACAGACCTAAAGATGGAAACAACAGACACTGGGGACCTCAAAAGGTGGTTGGGAGGGAGAGGGGCAAGGGTCAAAAATTGACCAACTGGGTACTATGGTCATTATTTGGGGGATGGGTTTAGTAGAGCCCAAACCCCAGCATTATGCAATATATCCATGTGACAAACCTGCACATGTACCTCCAAATCTAAAAAATTAAAAATCAGAAAGATTTTTTTAAATTAAAAATAAAATGCCATTTAAAAAACCCACTATGATCTTGTCTGAGAATAAAAAAGTAAACAAAGCTTGTAAACCAAAAATAAAATTCCAACATCCTGCACCCTGCTAACCATCTAAACCGAATCTTCTTCTCGACCAGGGCACTCCAAAGTTAACCTGAAAAATTGGTTCAGGCTATGCCAGGAAGCAGGGGTTGGACATGCCTCGTTATACTCTCCTCCCTGTTGGAATTTAGAAAAAGCCAACCAGCATTTAATATCAATACAGACCTTAGGTCTGATGAGAAGCATTTACAATCTATTCTCTCTGAAGCCTGCTACCTAGAGGCTTCATCTCTATGATAAAACTTGGGTCTCCACAATTACGTATCATAACCCAGACATTCCTTTCTATTGATAACTCTTTTAACCAACTGCCAATCAGAAAATTTTAAAATCTACCTATAACCTAGAACACTGCACCCCTCCCTGCTTCAAATTGTCCTGCCTTTCTGGGCCTAACTAATCTGTACCTTAAATATATTTGATTGATGTCTCATGTCTCCCTAAAATGTATAAAACCAAGCTGTGCCCTGACCACCTTAGGCACATGTTCTCAGAATCTGTGGGCTGTGCCACAGGCCATTGGTCACTCATATTTGGCTCAGAATAAATCTCTTCAAATATTTTATACAGTGATGTTTTGTCAACAAACTAAAACAAATATAAAATAAAAATGATAATCAAATTGACCAGGATGGAGGAACACCCTGAAATGGAAACAAATTTAAAAAAAAACTATATTTTGAATGAATCATGTAACCATACTGAATAATTCACCCCCATACTGATAGTAGATGGGGGTGAATTAACCTAAAATACACAATCTCAGAAAAAAAATTTTTTAAACACTATAAATAATATTGAACTCCTGTTACTAGGTTTGGTTTTGGTAATGTTATGACTTAGCAATTCTGAAACCACTTTTAGTGTATCCTGGGATTAGGTAAATAAATAAACATATTTGAGGATAATGGGAACCAGGTTTCTCATTATCAGAGAAGGGAGTTATAAATATGAAAATTGGAAAACAAGAATGAACCCTGTCATACTGGAGATCTCATAACTCACAGTTTCTAATAGGTAGATATAGATGTATGTGCAGGTGTATGGGTGGGTATGTGTGTGTACACACATGACGATATGCCAGTAGTAATGAACACACCTAATGTTGACTCTTCCTTGGAAAAAATGTATGACTCCAGAGCTGAGTCTAGGAAATTACACAACAAGCCTAGAATATCTTGTTTGCCAGAAAGTAAAGTAGTGCTCAAAAATGCAAGGCACATGTTAGAAGGACATAGTACCTAGTTTGAAGGGGCTCCATCTGACTGGCCAAGTCTAGGACAATTTGAGTATCAAAATAAATAATGAGAGTAATGGATTGTAGTCTCCTACATTAACTGGCAACTTGTGAGACCATACGGATATAAATAAATGGAAGGAGGAAAAACTCTTCCTTATAGTAGAATGCCAATGAATGTAAATGGAATAATGGTGCTGGGCATGGTGGCTCACACCTGTAATCCCAGCACTTTTGGAGGCTGATGGCAGGCAGATTGCTTTGAGTCCAGGAGTTCAGTAGATTCATGGGCAACATGGCAAAAACACATCTCTACTAAAAATACAAAAAAAAAAAAAATACAAAATAGACAGGTGTGGTGGTACACACCTGTAGTCCCAGCTACTTCAAAGGCTGAGGTGGGAGAATCACCTGAGCCAGGGAGGTTGAGGCTGCAGTGAACCAAGATCACACCACTGCACTTAAGCCTAAATAACTGCAGTGGGTCCCAGTCTCAAAAAAAAAAATGATATAGAACATCAACATGATTATTGATTCAGTAAAGCATCATCAATGAATGATAAACTAAGAGATGAAAGTTTCATGAGGAAGAGTTTATCTACATAGTCTCAAATTATCACCTCAAAACATTCATTAAAGGGAAGGAAATAGTAATTTTAGTGGAAGAATCTGACAGACACTACCTTAAGCAAGTGATCATATTATCAGCAATGGTACCAATCAACATCAAATGCTTCCCGATACAATGTTCCAGCTATTCTCTCAGCCTTCCCCCGCATACCTTCCCCCAGGTACCTTCTTGGGTAACTCACTCCACTGAAATCTTTCTCAAATGTTACCTTCTCAACAAGAACTACCCTGACCAACTTGCTCCCACTTCTCTCATCCCACTGATCTTACTCTACATTTTCTTTTTTCATAGTACTTACTAGTTTTACCATTTTCATTGTTATATTTATTGTTTACTATTCCCCACCTGGGATAATGCAAATTTCCACAATGGCAGGGATCTGTTTTGTTCACTGATGTATCCTAGGAGCCTAGAAATAGTTCTTGGCACTTAATAGGTGCTCAATAAATATTTGTTAACTGCTGAATGAAGGAAAGTACTAGGCAATTGAGAGCAACTGCTATTTTGGCCATATTTGGGATCAGTGGTTATTCCAGAATTCCTATTTGGAGGCTTTGGATAGCAATTTTGGAAAGTAAGAGGAACATGCTGTCTTGAGATGTGCCTGAACTGCAGGCATGCTGCATGCATTTAGATAGTATATTCATTGGGAGTGGCTTGGGAGGGGCTGAGGGACAGTATGAAGGAGTTAATGTCCTCTCTCACATTGCCCACGCATTGAACCACTGAGTCTGATCCTCAAGTCAGCTTTCATACTGATACACAGATCTGTATCATACCAAAAATCGTTTCTGTTCCTGAAATGGTACATTTCCTGTCCCTAGGACATGGTAATTCTCCGTCCCTAATATATGATTTAAAAGTAGGCCCTTACCTCCATAGTTGACCACATGTATTTCCACTCCACATGGGAATTTTGATTGAAGCAGTAACAGTCTGACTCAGAAGTTCTAATTAAATCATTTTCCTTCAAAGCTTTACACCTTTGAACTGAGAGATGGAAAAGGGAATACATTTTCTAAATCCTTAATTGCCCAGAATCTTTTTTTAAAAAAAATTCACAGGGAGGTAGTAGTTTTAACATTCTATGGCCAATAAATTCTCCTACATGGTAATTATAGTCCTTCAGTATTTCCAACCAAAGAGGAGACAGACAGAAAATACTATAGCCCAAGAGTCAATGTTTATGACATGGGAGGGCACTAAGAGCACAGAGAACAGGTACCCCTTCAATTCTGAAGCAGAAAGCAACAATTATGGGCATCTCCCCAGAAAAGAAAAAAATATGAGTAAAGGGCTGAAGGGTGAGGTAGAGGCAATGAGACAAAAATTAGGAAGTGGGAGCGGGGGTGGGCAGGACCAGCAAGTGTGTACAGAATCATGAAGATGACGTAAATCATAGAATTAATTTCAGTTTACAGATACTGGATTGTTATATCGGTGAGGGAGCATGGATGGAAGGTATATGAACACCTGTACCTGGAGTGGTAAACCATGGATACTACTATACCATATGGACTTCATCTTGAAAGCAAAGCATTGAAGGATTTTAGGTAAGTATCAGTCTCAGCAAGAAACGATTGACACTCAAATGGATTTAATTGAAAATAGTTCAGTAAAGATATGGACAGGGTTAAGGCACTAACAATAAGGTACTATGAAGTTCCCAGGCACTAACAACAGCAGGAAGCTTTTAGCAGCCCGAGTCCCAAAACGGCAAGTGGAGGATCCATGTTACTGGAGTCATTGGAACTGGGAGGACTGTAGTCTAAAGGAATGCAGCCACTGCCAGGACTCCTGTGGAATGGCATGGGTACCACAACCTGTCTCTCCCACTGTCCCCTCAATGCCCTGAATCAGCCAAACTCAACAGGAAGGCAGAGGGCAAAGAAGCCCATATAATGCAGTCCATAGAGGTTAGCTTCCAGACACTAAGCGGGGAAGAGAAGGGCTGAGAACAGATCTACAGCAACAGGGAATACCAGCTCAGTAAGGAAGTGACAGAAACACATTTGTATTTTGGAAAGAACATTCTGTAAGTAATGTGGAATACTGAAGAAGAAGACTGAAAGCAGAAGAACCACTAAAAAGGCCACTGAAGCCATCTAAGCAAGACATGGACTAAGATTAGGAAATGAAATCAACAGGTTTTGCAGATTCATTTTATCAAAGAAAACAAGAATATGATGTGAAGGTTTCTGCTAAGTGGAGAGATAGTGAGGCCCTTTACTCAGATAAGAAATATTAGAGAAGAAGTAAGTCTGTAGAGGGAAGTGGGAATGAGTTCAATTTTGGATATACTGAGTTTTCACTGGTGGGATTATGTGAAGAAGATCTTCACAACTCCAGCAAGAAGAAATTTGGCTGGAGACAGATATAGATACCTAAATATATATGTATGTCACATATAATACAACTCAACATATCTGAGAGAAGAGCGATACGTATGAACCCTCAGTATTACAGAGGGTTAATGTAAATGCCACAAGAAAACCAGAAAGTAGTGATGGTCACTTTCTTTTGTGGTCATTCCTGTATTTGGATTTGAAATGAAGTGAAATGAAAGTCCTAAGTTCTTCTGGATTGAAGATAAGAGTGTCACCCCCACATCTGTCCAACAGGAAACAGGAACAAGGAACACTTACGGGTATACACAGAAATGGGCTTTACGCGCAACCCCTGACTCCTTTAAGGAAAGAGTAGTCAGTTGTTTCTCCTGAAAATCCTGAAATGAAGCTAGAACAACTTGTTACACCAAAGTTGGGGAAGAACTGAGTAACCAGTAACAGCTGGTAAACAATTACATCCACTGTAGGGAATAACACTGAATATGCTCAGACAAGTCCCTGGTCCTGGCCTGAAATATCCTTAGCATTAAGTTGGAGAAAAGTGAAGACAGAATTGGGGAAAGGATCCTGGGAATGCTCACCATCTCCCAAAACACAACTCCATAAAAGAGAGGGTTCTCCAGTCACCACACGAAGCAGCAAAGTTACACAAAGACCCAGTGTATTCAACTGTGACCGTCAAATCATTCATCTTTACTTTCCACATTATGATGAAATGCATATGTTTCTAAATATATCAAGAACTTTACAGAGTTTGAGAGTTCAAGATGCAAATACAAGAATCCAGGTTAAAAGTGAGGAAAAAACACAAGAAGGAACCTCCGGAGCAAGGATCCCCAACCTTGGGGCCGAGGACTAATATCAGTCCATGGTCTGTTAGGAACCGGGCTGCAAGAGGTGAGCGGTGGGCATGGTGGGTGAGCATTACCACCTGAGCTCTGCCTCTTGTCAGATCAGTAGTGGCAATAAGATTCTCACAGGAGCGTGAACCCTACCGTGAACTGCACATGCAAGGGATTTAGGTTGCATGCTTATTATGAGAATCTAACTAATGCATGATGATCTGAGGTGGAAGAGTTTCATCCCCAAACCACCCCCCATCCCATTCCTGTCCTATGGAAAAGTTTTCTCCCATGAAACTGGTCCCTGTTGCCAAAAAGGTTGGAGACAGCTCCTCTAGGGGCTCTCTGTTAAATACAGGATACCAAAAATGCAAAACGTGCTCCTGCATGGTGTGTCTATGCACTAGAGCCAAAAGGAGAATTCACAACCAAGGCTATGAACACACAAAGCAACCAATGCTGAAACACATTTTTGGACATATCTGAGATGCAAATGACTTCTGGCCAAGGGCAGCACAGAGGGAAGTGCAGTCCCAGGGATATCAAAGGGCTGGCAGCTCCTGCAGAAAAGATGAATGTCAAGGAATGTAGTGTATAACCTGGAAGATTCTGAGCAACTGCAATGAGAAGACATGAGAACACATTAAATGCTCCCATTTAGTGAGCAGTAGAGGTGGGGGATCAGGTCTCTGGATTCACCTTACCATGTTTTGCCTTTGCACAGCCTCCTGTGGGGGGAGGGGGTCTCTGAACATGGTTAGAGTTGAGAACTTTATACTGGGAGTCCTCAAATAAAAGGGAGGGAAGGATTCTTACCCATTGTTGTAAAGGGAATGCATTCCAGCAGAGCAGGTGAACAGCATGAAGTCTCCGGTACATAGACCCAACAGCCCAAACTATGATAAGAATGTTTACTTCCAGACATACCTTTCTTCACCACCCATGCTAGAGGGGCTTTTCTTGTGGATGCCTCCAAGGAACCCTCCCTGCAATCTTCTCCTTTTGAGTGGTGCTACTTCAGGGGCTAAATCAACTCCCATAGAATAGTTCCCTTTTGTTAATGGTCTGAGGAAACAGCCTTTTGGTGGGGCCTGAGCTTTGCAATCAAATGATCTCTTCAAATAAGGTTCTTTCCACTTGATCCTAAGGATGTCTCCTAAATCATTAGAAATCTACAGCTCTTAAGAGCAAGATGATGCAATTTAAGTATAATGTATTACTGCAGTTTCAACATAGGAGTAAATGCTTCTCTGTTAGCCAAGCCACATTCCTCTTACACTACGATGATTGTAATAGCCTTCTACCTAGCTGGTCTCACTGCTTCCAGATTTGGCCCCCACCACCACATTTACCCACTACAACCTACTCTTCAATTAGCAAACAGATGTTTTTAAAATGTGAATTGGGGCCAGGCACAGTGGCTCACACTTGTAATTCCAGCACTTTGGAAGGTGGGCAGATCACCTGAGGTTAGGAGTTCGCGACCAGCCTGGCCAACATGGTGAAACCCTATCTCCACTAAAAATACAAAAATTAGCCGGGCTTGGTGGTGCATGCCTGTAATCCCAGCTACTCAGGAGGCTGAGGCAGGAGAATCACTTGAACCTGGGAGGTGAGGTTGCAGTGAACCGAGATCACACCACTGCACTCCAGCCTGGGCAACAGAGTGAGCCTCCGTCTCATAAAACAAAAACATGAATCAGAACATAGCATTTACCTGCTTAAAACCCTCCAGGGCCAGGCATGATGGCTCACACCTGTAATCCCAGCACTTTGAGAGTCCAGCTACTTGGGAAGCTGAGGCAGGAGAAACGCTTGAACCCGGGAGGCAGAGGTTGCAGTGAGCCAAGACTGCACCACTGCACTCTAGCATGGGTGACAGAGCCAGACTCCGACTCAAAAAAAAAAAAAAAAAAAAAAAAACAACTCTCTAATGGCTTCCCTTTACTCCATTAATAAAATCCTCCTCCCTTCCAAGGACCTGAGTGCCTCTATGACCTTCTCTCCTCCACTTTCCTCCCAGCCCAGCTGCTTCAGCCACACCTGGCCCTCCTGTCCTCAAGATGCCAGCCCACCCTACCTCAAGTTTCCTCAGTCTGCAACCTTCTTCTCCCAGATCTTGGCAGAGCTCATGCCTTCCAATAATTGATGTACACTATCAAACACTACCTTCTCAGAAAGGCCTTCTTTGATCCCACTATCTAAACAAATACACTCCAACCACTTCCACCTGCTTTATTCTTTCTTCATATTACATATGTATTTATTAGCTTATACTCTATGTCTTTCCATGAAAGAAGGGACATTGCATGTTTATTACTGTAACCCAAGCACTTAAATATTTGTCTTTTGTGTATAGCTTGTGATTCAAGAGGACTAGAGGGTTATTTGGGCATGTGTGGCCCACCAGTGGAAGTCCAGCCAATCTTTTTAAGAGCCTGGCCAGAGCTAGTTAGCACCATAAAAGGAGGTGCACTCTGACCTTCCCTTGAAACCACCTGACATAGCAGGGTGCCCTTGCCAGCCTGTGCCACTGCCATCCCCTCTACAGAACTCATAAAGCAGGAGGGTCAGTCTGGAAACCACAGGCTGCAATTCCCCCTTACCCTACACCATGGGCAACATATCCATAGCTAGAGGGTTGAGTGCTACAACCCTTAACATCCCCTGGGCTGGGGACCATCTTCTTGCCCCTCACTGAATAAAGGAGGGCAGAAAGAAGAGGTGGCATTAAGCTTGTTTTTATTTGGCTCATATATGATACCTCAGTGTATTCTGGGTTAGGGTTAGGGTTAGGGTTAGGGTTAGGGTTAGGAGTGAGGAAAACTTGTTCTGCATTTTCCCTCAGTCTTCAACCAGATTAAGGATAGCATGGAAGAAAGGAGGTTGTACTGACTATTCGTACCTATAGACAAACTAGTAAAAGCATGTTGCAAACAGCTGTGTTCCCTCAAATTCTCCAGAGTGGCCTCTGGCTTTTGAGGTGAAGCTGATGTGGAATGTACATAATCCATGAGATTACGCAGACAAGGTGTCAGTGCTTCATGGGTCCCCTGACTGCCCTTCTTTCTTATCACCTCTCTCCCAAGGTGAATAAGTTTCAATCAACCCGCACAGGCATTCCTAAATAAGGGACCGGAAATTCAGCCACAAGAAGCCACAAGCCTAGCTTCAAGACAGTTCAGTAAGCCATGGGCCAATTGGACTAGGCAAAAGACAGTGATTGTCACAAGACTATTGTCACAGCTGGCCCAAGGCCTTCCTAGAGAGAACAGATCTTCCAACTCTGGATTGATTATAAAGGCTATATATTTCTTATGTCTCTCTTCCCTTTAGCAATCTTATTCTAGAGATATTTCACTGTTCAGTTTCAATCTCCTTATCCAACTGAGGGTGGGAAATAGGAAATGGAGCCAGTCTGACTGCTTATTTGAACTCTATCACTGATTACGCCCTGACACTGAATGCTATGAAGCTGCCTTCATCTCTGTGGGTTTCACTTAATCATGAGGCCCCAGTTATTGCTGGTTAATTCTAATCGGATAGAACCTCTTGGTAGCAAATGCAGGCAAACTCAAACATATCAAAACAATAGCAGGCTGGTGCTGTGGCTCACGCCTGTAATCCCTACACTTTGGGAGGCCAAGGCAGGAGGATCACTTGAGGCCAGGAATTTGAGACCAGCCTAAGCAACATGGAGAAACCCTGTCTCTACCAAAAATACAAAAATGAGCCAGTCTTATAATCCAGTCTCCAAAATAAATAAATAAATAAAAATTTTAAAATTAGAACAACAACAATACCCTTATAATGCAATCCAGGAAATGAAACAAGAGTTTCTAGGAATTTTTTTTTAAAAAAAACTAACAATAGTCATTCATTAAAAAACTAACAATAATCATTCATTTGATCAAAAAGGAACACTACCTGCCTAAGGAAAGCTACCGCTTCTACTTAAGGCTGAAGTATTTAATATGTCCCTACCCTGGAAGGTGCTCCATAACCTAGGTAGTCACTTCCTCAAGCCTGAATCAGATTGGGAGAAAGATCTGGAATTGTAGGCTATCCCTGGCCTACATCTCCCAAGGACTGAGGAGCACTGTGGGATCAACCTTGAACGCCATCCTTACTATGGAAAGACAGGTTTCTAAGCCTGGCAGGGTATGATTGTTCTTAACTTCTTGCCATCCTCAGCAGGCTCCCTTATCCTTTCAATTAACCTGACTTCTAGAGAACAGTATATTTCTGGATAGTTGTGTTCAAACCACTAAAATGCTACAGGAGACATTAATTATTTACATTACCAAATGGTTCAGAAAGTCGGGGTTCCCTTAATCCAGGAGACAGATTCCTTAGATCACTTTAAATCCCAGTTGGTTTATAAATATTCAATTAATCTAACTTTAGAACTACATATCTAGTATAAAAAAAGGGACAGCTGCATGTCACCTACTTTAATTATAAGCTCAATTATTTCCTTTGTAGTACTTTTGTCATTAGTGTTCCTAAATGTAAGTATATATTTAAGTTAAAGAGTTGAGTCATATATACAGTTTAAAAAAAAAATCCTCAGTCAAAACATCAGAATAGGGCAGGTAGCGCTTAAACCTACTTACAGAATATGCTAAAAATAAAACACACATACACCTCAAATCTTAGCAGAACCTAACTCCCAACATAAAAATATTTCACCCATGTTCCTCCTGAAAACTGACATGGCCCCCTCATGTGGGGGAAAAAACTATCTTCGGATGAAACTGCAATGGCATCATAATATAAATAGTTATTACATTATATGACAAATGTCTCCATTTGCCCTATAATTGCTTTTCTTTGGGCACAAGGAAGGGGAGTGAGAAGAGCAGGAAACACAAAAAGCAAAAAAAAAAACAAGTTTTTACTTGTGAGAAGTCAAATGGAGTCAGGATTTTTCTTAGTATTTGTTTTTTATAAATTCACCTTTTCAAAGGAGTTAACATGAGGCACCAAAGTGATAAACGTAACTATTCTCTTAACCTCAGTTTTTTTTTAACCTGAATAATCTTTTTATTTCTTCAAGAATGTGAGAACGAAACTCGAATTAGTACATACTAATGCACACTCAAGTCTTTAACTTCAAGCCCAGATCTTTCTTCACAGATGACTTTTAAAGTTGTGGTTTCAAATGGACTGCTACCATAGTTTAAGCCTGGGAAGCTACTGCCACGGCCTGAACTTCATCTCAGGACAACACATGGTTTTTAGAGATCTCACTAACTGGCTGCAAATTATGGGAAACTCTTGGTTTGACATTTCTCTTCCTCTCAGTCAGACAACTACCTGCTCCTTCTGTGTCAACTGTCTCCGACTTTTCTCTAAATAGAGTGACAGAAAGCTGGTGGTGGTCTGAATGTTCTTCATTCCATTGAAGGGTGTGTTATTCAAGACAAAATGTTAGAACAGGAAGGCACCTTAAGTATCACCTAATCCAAGCCTCTCGCTTAAAGAAAGTACCAGCTGTTTCCTCTCAGGGTCCTCATGAAACCAGACTTTTAAAGAGCAGCAATAGTTCTTAGGCCTCGTCTAATCCAGAGCTTCCAACACAGTGTCACTGGCAAACTACAGGATGCTGGGCGCTTCAGTCCCTACTGGAAAGGCTATTGGAATGGCAAGCATCCCTGTAAGGCTACAGAAGTTGCCTTTCTTCTTAGCTGTGGATTAGTTTTAGTCAACTCAATGGGCATCCTGCATGTCTCAGAACAGAAGCTCCAATAAGCATTTATGTGTGTCTTTGATTAACAAAACAGAAGCAGGCTGTTACTACTATACTAAGCGCGGTAACATAAAAATTTTAAAAACACCAGGTTCATTGAGGTGAGGAAAATGTTGGAAACTCTTCAGTAAAAGCATCTTCATTTTACTCATGAGAAAACTATGGTCCATAACGACTCTGTGCCTGGACCAAGGTTATACCACAGTTGTGGCGGAAGGTAATGACTGGGTGCTGGTCTAAGGCTACTTCGAATTTTCTCCCTGCTGCCGTGCCCAGAAACCTTCCTGCTTAGGCAGATTTGTGTTTTATATTTTCACCAGAACATAATTGTATTTCTTACTACCAAGGCTTTGTTCTCTCGTCTATAAAAAGGGAATAAAATCGTACCTTCCCCCATAGGGCTTCTATGAGTATTAAATATGATCGATACTGCACTTAAAGCACTTAAAACACTGACTAGCACATAATGAACACTCGACAAATGTCTGTTCAATGAAAACCGGTATCCAACAGTTGCCCAACATGTAACTCACTGCAAGGTTCCCTCAGTTGGTAGCTGTGGCAGAATCTGATAACGACCTCATCAACATCCAGTCTCTCACTCATCCTTAGATAAAAAACCGCGGTGTAACTGGAGGGAGGGCCATGCCCAGCTAAAAGAATACACCTGGCAGCCTCCCTTGCAACCAGGGTGGCCAACGCAGTGAAGGGAAGTGGGTAGAGAGTGCATCCAGGAAATCTTTTAAAACTGAAGCGCATGGTAAGCTAGCAGCAGGTCCGGAGTTGGTGACTTCCCCAGGTGTCCTTCCAGATCCTTCCCCAGTGTGCCAGGATCCTGAGCCCACTCCGTGGCGAGCCCCTAACGCTAGCAGCGCCGACCAGTTGCTGCTTCCCGTGCGCCCGGCGCTGTTTACGCAAACACCACGGACCCTCGCGAGGCCTCATCATCGGCGGCTCACGTGGGACCCGTTGCGTTACTCGCCCGGGGTCACAACAGCCAGTCAGGGGCAGGAGACTTTCGTCGGATTCTGAAGGTAAAGCTCTTACCTTCTCTACTCTTGCGACCAAAGGAATACTAGATAGTGAAATAACAAGGATGTCAACGCGCATGGATGCACTGTACAAAAGGCCGTGTGCTGACAGTCTGGAGACTAGGGTCAGCGGTGCTCGTGACAAGCTGTGTGATCTTGGGCAAACCAAAACCTCTCTGAGTTTCGGCTGCTGCTGTGAAACGAGCGAATTGGGCGACTGGATTGCGCGGTTGCTTCCAGTCCTAAAATATAAAATGTCCAACTGCCAGGAGAGAGACCAAAGAGGCCCAAGAAAGCAGGAAGGGCGGGCGGGGCCTGCCCGGGTGTGGGCCGCGTCCGCGAGGTGACCCCGAAGCGAGAAAAGAGAGCACCCGCCCGGTCCCGAGGCCTCGCGGCGCCGCCCGGACCACAGAGCGCGCCCGCGGGGCGACGGCGAAGCCGGGGAGCGAGCACGCGCGCGCCGCCGCCGGGGCCGGGTTACCTGACAACGCCGCCGCCGCCGCCGTCGCCGCCTCCCCGCGCACGGGCAGTGTGGCCAGGGGCGGCAGCCAGAGCAGCAGCCACCACCGCCCGTGGCGCGACCGCATTTCCTTAGGGGTCAGCTCCGCACGACCCGAGCCCTAAGGGGCCGGTTCGGCCTTAAGGAGCGGAAGTGGCGCGGAGCCTCAGAGAAGACGGAGGGGGCGGTGAGGCCCGAACGCGGGAAAGGCGGAGACCCCGCCTCCCCGGGGCGGAGGGAGAGTCTGGCCCCTGGCTCCGGCCGCCGCCCGCGGCCTCGGGGCTCGGCCTGCCCAGGCCGGAAGGGATTTCGGTGGCGCGATCTCGGGCGCACGCTCGGCCTCGGCCTCCGGACCGCACGTCCCAGCGGGGCGTCCAGGGCCTCATCTTCCCCCGGGGACCTCTCGGCAGCGTCCCGCCGCCCTCGGCGCGGGGCTGGGAGTTGCAGAGAGGAAGGGGTCGCTCTCCCGGAGTGTTTCTTAAAACTTGGCTGACCTGTGACCTGCCGGATTTGGAGGCTGAGTTCTCCGAGCGCCTGTGAGTGACAGCCTGTGAATGGGAAGGTTTCGGCAAACGCCCTTTTTGTGAATAAATACATAAAAGCCAGTTTCTTTATTTTACCTTTCTGTTTTCCCTTTTACTTTCGTTTGGTAACAAGCAATAACAAATTGGAAATGTGGCCGCCTAAATAACACTGACTTGTGTGTCTAATCTCGGACACCACATTTCAGAGTACAGAGGGGCTGCAAAATGTTCCTTTAAGGTTTTCTTAAAGTTCGCTCATGTTAAAAAAAAAAAAAAGTTTTTTAATGTAATATATTTTTAAGTTAATGTATAACTTGAATGGTCTTAATACTGATAATTAGGAGATATAGTAATATATATATTTTAAAGAACATTCCCTCCACAGGCCATGTAACCCATTAATTTGATTCAGTATTCCATACTTAACTAGGACAGTCTTCTCTAATTCTGGTCTTTTGCCGAGATGTCTCAGAGAACCCGAAGTAACATAAATTATCCTTTGAAAGATAGATAAGCTTCATTTTTCCTAAAACTCTGAGTAGGATGGACGAGGCCTTCCTTGCCCTCAAAGGAAGGTTTAACCAACTGCCCTTAAGCGCATGGGACCATGTGTACACCATGTATGGCTTTTGAAAAGTTCAGAAATGTCCTTGTAAGGGACTCTTCAGAGGGATGATTTTTAAAAATAAACCATCTTCACTTGGGTGAAGCTTATCTTTAAAGAAACAGCAGAGCCCCTGATCCAATTCCTTCCTATAGTCCCAGGTGAGGTGTGCACTTGCTTTTTGCAAGACAGCTTTTTTACCTAACCACCTTCATTTTCATTTGGTTTAATTTTGGATGCCACTGTGGAAAGCAGCTAACAGAAACAGGTGGATTGTTGAATGATTAATGTATTTTCCTGCAGATATATCTGGTAGAGAAACAAAAGCAGACAGCAATTTACTAAATATTTAAAGTGCTATTTATATCACAGATCCTTAGTAAATATCTGTAAAGAAGGTATATTGAAACACTACGTTTCTCTCTATGAGCAATAAATATTTTTCTGGAGATGACAAGAATATTAGGAGGTGACGTTCTGTCACCGGAGGACAATCATGAAATTCCACTTAACCTCTCCAAACCTTTCTCCCGTATGAAAACCTTATCCACTGGGGTAAGGGCAGGAAGCATTACCACCAGCAGGGTCCTGGCAAAGACCCCCTGCTTCTGAAGAAGAGATAGGAGCACGAACCTTCTGCCCTCTGGGGAGCAGCAGGAGCAGGAAACAATAGGGCTCAGTGTCCTGAACCGACAGAAAGTTGAAGTTGGCTACTACTGGGAAAGCATCCCTCACTCAAGACCCACCACAGATAAAGGAAGGATTTGGCTACAAGTGGGGAAATGTCAGGAGTACTGAGAAACCCCCACATCTAAGGCTCAGGTGCACAGGGCCTGCCTAAAACCAAGGCAGGGCTAGGAGTGTGAAAAACCCCTTTTTTCCACCACAAGCCAAGCACCAGAGACAAACGACACCAGTCAACTAGTAAGGAGGAAAAAGAGTGTAGGGAGAGACCTCTCTGTAACACAGGCATGCAAGCACTGCTGAAAGCTGAGTGAAGGGCACTGAGAAAAACTCCCCAGCACTCTAGACTCCATATTAAGGCAGTGCAATAGCAACCCCCTGCTAGAGGAAATTGAATAAAGCCTGTGGTACAGTGAGGGCAGTAATAACAATAAAACCCAAATTCAGCACAACTCCTGACCAGATTGACTCAACCACCCACGTTATTGACCAGACAGAAGCAGCATGTTTATTTTTGGACCTTAATATTATTTACCTCAGTCTTTACTATTCTACTGTGTATGATATCCATCATTTGATCAAAAAAGACACCCAAAAAAGCAGAGAGGAGAAAAAAGGTAAAACAGAACCAGATTCAGAAATGACCTATATATTGGGCTATAATTAATATGCTTAAAAAGCTAGTGGAAAAAGTGAACGACATGCATGAATATATAGAGAGAATTTCAGCAGAAAGGGGAAAATGATTTAGAAACTGAAATGGAAGGCTAGAAGTTAAAAGCACCTCATCAGAAATAAAGAATTCTTTCAATGAGCTTATCAGTAGACCGGGACATAGCTGAGGAAAGAACCAGTGAGTTTGAATATAGGGTGATATGGTTCAGCTGTGTCCCCACCCAAATCTCATTTGAATTGTAGTTCCCATAATCCCCACATCGTGGGAGGGACCCAGGGGGAGGTAATTGAATCATGGGGTAGTTACTCTCTTGCTGTTCTCATGATAGTGAGTTCTCATTAAATCTATTGGTTTTATAAGGGGCTTTTTCCCCTTTGCTCAGCACTTCTCTCTCCCGCCGCCTTGTGAAGAACATGTTTGCTGCCCCTTCACCATGACTGTAAGTTTCCTGAGGCCTCCCCAGCCATGCAGAACTGTGAGTTAATTAAACCTCTTTCCTTTATAAATTATGGGTTCTATGGAACTTTGAACTTGAAAGAGATGACTTAGGGTAGCTGGTGAAAGAAATTCTTTTTTTTTTTAACAGTCTTGCTGTGTTGCCCAGGCTGGAGTTCAGTGGCACAATCTCAGCTCACTGTAGCCTCTGCCCCATGGGTTCAAGCTATTCTTCTACCTCAGCCTCCTGAGTAGCTGGGATTATAGGCGTGTGCCACCACACCCAGCTAATGTTTGTATTTTTAGTAGAGACAGAGTTTCACTGTGTTGGTCAGGCTGGTCTCGAACTCCTGACCTCGTGATCCACCCACCTTGTCCTCCCAAAGTGCTGGAATTACAGGCGTGAGCCACTGCACCTGGTCCTGGTAGGAGAAATTTCTAAGCAGCAAAGTGTTCAAGAGGAAGCAGAGTGTAAAAGTTTGGAAAATTTGTAGCCTGATGATGTGATAGGAAAGAAAAACTCATTTTAATGGAGAGAAATTCAAGCCAGCTGCAGAAATTTGCAGAAGTAAAGAGGAGCCGAATGTTAATCAACAAATCAATGGGGAAAATGTCTTCAGGGCATGTCAGAGACCTTCTTGGCAGCCCCCCACCCCCATCACAAGCTCAGAGGCCTAAGAGGGAAAAATGGTATCCTGGGCTGCACCTAGGGCCCCATCAACGCTGTTCTGTGCACCCTTGGGGCATGGTACTCTGTTGTCCCAACTGCTATAACTTCAGCTTTGGCTAAAAAGGGGACAATATACAGTTAAGGCCATTGATTTAGAGGGTGCAAGCCCCAAGCCTTGGCAGCTTCCACATGGTGTTGAGCCTATAGGTACACAGAAGTGAAGAACTGAGGTTAAAATGGCTATCACTAAAAAATGTGGAGACAACAGATGCTGGAGAGGATGTGGAGAAATAGGAACACTTTTACACTGTTGGTGGGAGTGTAAATTAATTCAACCATTGTGGAAGACAGTGTGGCACTTCCTCAAGGACCTAGAAACAGAAATCCTATTTAACCCAGCAATCCGATTACTGGGTATATACCCAAAGGATTATAAATCATTCTATTATAAAGACACTTGTGAGCCGGGTGTGGTGGGTCATGCCTGTAATCTCAGCACTTTGGGAGGCCGAGACGGGTGGATCATGAGGTCAAGAGATCAAGACCATCCTGTCAACATGGTGAAACCCCATCTCTACTAAAAATACAAAAAATTAGCTGGGCGTGGTGGCACGTGCCTGTAATCCCAGCTACTCAGGAGGCTGAGGCAGGAGAATTGCCTGAACCCAGGAGGCGGAGGTTGTGGTGAGCCGAGATCGCGTCATTGCACTCCAGCCTGGGTAACAAGAGCGAAACTCCGTCTCAAAAAAAAAAAAAAAGACACATGCACACATATGTTCGTAGCAGCACTGTTTACAATAGCAAAGACCTGGAACCAACCCAAATGCCCATCAACAATAGACTAGACAAGGAAAATGTGGCACATATACACCATGGACTACTATGGAGCCATAAAAAACGATGAGTTTGTGTGCTTTGTAGGGACATGGATGAATCCGGAAATCATCATTCTCAGCAAACTGACACAAGAACAGAAAATCAAACACCGCATGTTCTCACTTATAAACAGGTGTTGAGCAATGAGAACACATGGATACAGGGAGGGGAGCATCACACACTGGGGTCTGTTGAGGGGGGCACCAAGGGAGAGACAGCAGGCGTAGGGAGGTCAGGAAGGGATAACATGGGGAGAAATGCCAGATGTAGGTGACGGGGGGATGGAGGCAGCAAACCACATTGCCATGCATGTACCTATGCAACAAGCCTGCATGATCTGCACATGTACTCCGAAACCTAAAGTATAATAAACATAAATAATTTTTTTTAAAAAATTGAGGTTTGGGAACTTCCGTAGAAGTTTGCGCAGGTATGGAGCCCTCATGGAGAACCTCTGTTAGGGCAGTGCAGGGCTGGAGGCCCCACACACAGTCCCCACCGGGGCACTGCCTAGTAGAGTTGTGAGAAGAGGACCACCCTCCCCCAGACCCCAGAATGGTAGATCCACTGACATCTTGCACTGTGTACCTGGAAAAGCAGCAGACACTCAACGCCAACCTGTGAAAGCAAGCCAAGAGGAAAGCTGTACCCTGCAAAGCCACTTTAGTCTTGGACTTCCGAGTTAATGCTGGAATGGGGCTATTGGAAGGGCATGATTGTGTCTTGAA